GTACCAGCTTAGCTCAAAGCGTCTTTAGAAGAATCCGTGAAACACTTCATAAATCAACAGCAGAATTTACAAGAGTCGCAAACACTCGAGCAAAGCCGTCCAAAATCAAAGTAGGTTCGAGAGTTATGCTGACTAACTTTAACAAAACGTCTGCAATGCCTAAGCTTGATCAAAAGTTCGTTGGTCCTTATCGGGTAGTTGAACATATCAATAGCAGGAAGTATAAGGTTAGAGAAATTAGTACTGGTCAGTATAAAGAGTCGCATTTGGATCATATGAAGTTAGTATGTAATGATAATGATGTTCCAACCCAGACTAATGTGACAGACTCTGGCAATCCTCCTGACTCTGTACCCTCTACCTCTAATACTCAGTCAGATGATCAGCCTGAATGTCGTTATTCCCTACGTACACAACAGGTATTGAGAAATCCTCAAGTATCATTTGTAACTACCAATTCAGAGCCATCTCAAATATGGCATGAGTTAGCCAGTGCAACAGTTTGATCCTCCCAGAGAAGACACCCATTCTGCATATGTCAATCTCACCCTAGCAGAGTTGGGAAGGGGGACAAAAGAGACTGTAAAAATTATAGAGGAATAAGTTTATTGAGTATACCAGGAAAAGTGTACTGTAGAGATATTATTGAAAGAATTAGAGGTAAGACAGAATGTACGATTGCAGATGAGCAAGGAGGTTTTAGTCTGGGTAGGGGATGTGTAGATCAAGTGTTTACATTGAAGCATATATGTGAAGTAATTAGATAAAGGTAGGGAAGTTTTTATTGCATTTATGGATTTAGAAAAGGCATATGATAGAGTGGATAGGGAAGCAATGTGGCAGATGTTACAAGTATATGGAATAGGTGGTAAGCTACTAAATGCTGTAAAGAGTTTTTATGAGGATAGCGAGGCTCAGGTTAGGGTGTGTAGAAGAGGGAGACTATTTCCCAGTAAAAGTAGGTCTTAGACAAGGATGTGTAATGTCACCATGGATGTTTAATATATTTAAAGATGGGGTTGGAAAAGAAGTAAATGCTAGGGTGTTAGGGAGAGGAGTGGGATTAAATTATGGGGAATCAAATACAAAATGGGAATTGACACAGTTACTTTTTGCTGATGATTTGTACTGTGCTTATGGTAGGTTCTAAAGAAAAATTTATAAGGTTAGTGGACGAGTTTGTGAGAGTGTGTAAAGGTAGAAAGTTGAAAGTGAGAATAGAAAAGGGTAAGGTGATGAGGGTATCAAATGATTTAGATAAAGAAAAATTGGATATCAAATTGGGGAGGAAGATATTTGGGAGTTGACGTGTCAGCGGATGGATTTATGAAGGATGAGGTTAATCATAGAACTGATGAAGGAAAAAAGGTGAGTGGTGCATTGAGGTATATTTCTTTCTTTCAACACACCGGCCGTATCCCACCGAGGCGGGGTGGCCCAAAAGGAAAAACGAAAGTTTCTCCTTTTATATTTAGTAATATATACAGGAGAAGAGGTTACTAGCCCCTTGCTCCCAGCATTTTAGTTGCCTCCTACAACACGCATGGCTTATGGAGGAAGAATTCTGTTCCACTTCCCCATGGAGGTAAGAGAAAATAAACAACAAGAATAAGAACTAGTAAGAAAATATTAGAAAACCCAGAGGGGTGTGTATATATATGCTTGCACATGTATGTGTAGTGTGACCCAAGTGTAAGTAGAAGTAGCAAGACATACCTGAAATCTTGCATGTTTAAGAGACAGAGAAAAGACACCAGCAATCCCACCATCATGTAAAACAATTACAGGCTTCTGTTTTACATCTGCTTGGCAGGATGGTAGTACCTCCCTGGGCAGTTGCTATCTACCAACCTACTACCTACACTCAGTAAACTTATTCCCCTATAATTTTTACAATCTCTTTTGTCCTCCCAATCCCTAGGTACCTTCCCCTCTTTCATACATTTATTAAACAAAAATACCAACTATTCCAACACTATATTCCTCCCCCCTCCTCTGCTTTTAACATTTCTGTCATGATCCCATCAGTTCCAGCTGCTTTACCTCCCTGGCCAGTGCATGAAATTATTGCCTCCCTTTCTTCATCGGCATTTAAAAGTTCCTCAAAATATTCCCACCATCTACCCAATACTTTCAGCTCCCCATCTACTAACTCCCCTACTCTGTTTTTAACTGACAAATCCATTCATTCCCTAGGCTTTCTTAACTTGTTTAACTCCAATTTTTTTTCTTATTTTCATCAAAATTTCTTGACAGTGCCTCTCCTTGTGCACTCACTCTCCACTCTCTTCACTTTTCTTTAACTCTATACATACTCTGCCCTTCTTATATCACTTCTGCTTTGTAAAAACCTCTCATAAGCTACCTTTTTCTCTTTTATCCTACCCTTTACTTCTTCATTCCACCAATCACTCCTCTTTTTTCCTGCACCCACCATCATGTAGCCACAAACTTCTGCCCCACATTCTAATAGTGCACCCCCAGATTTCGTAGTCGCTGGATTTCGTAATATTCGGAATTAGTAACATTTTTCATCAAAATATTGGCTCGGTGATCGTCATTGAACTTGGAAATAGTCATTCATCCCGAACGTGTCCACACGGCCTGAGTGGTGCAGCACACCATTTACAGCCAGTGTGCCATTCTTTATCAGCCAGTGAGGACGATCCCAAACGTTCATACGTTTTGTATTATTCCATTCCTTTTTAGTGCTTGTAACTGCTAAATAAGCCACCATGGGCCCAAAGAAAGCTTCTAGTGCCAGCCCTTTGGTAAAGAGGGTGAGAAACACTATAGAATTCAAGAAAGACATCATTGCTAAATATGAAAGTGGAGTACTTGTCGCAGAGCTGGCCAAGTTGTATAACAAACCCCATATAACCATTGCTTCTATCGTGGCCAAGGAAAAGGAAATCAAGGAAGTTGTTGTTGCGAAAGGTGCAAATATGCTTACAAAATAGAGATCGCAAATACTGGAAGATGTGGAGACATTGTTGGTGGTGTGTATCAACGAGAAACAATTATCAGAAGATAGTGTTATGCAGTCGGTAATTTGTGAAAAGGCAAGGCAGTTGCATGCTAATTTCGTAAAGAAAATGCCTGCAACCATTGCTGATGTTAGTGAATTTAAGGCCAGCAAAGGCTGGTTTGAGAGATTTAAGAAGTGTAGTGGCATACCGAGTGTGGTAAGGCATGGCAAGGCTGCAAGTTCTAACAAAAATGCGGCTGAAAAATATGTTCAGGAATTCAAGGGGTATATAGAGGCTGAACAATTCAAACTCTAACAAGTGTTCAATTGTGATGAAACAGGCCTCTTTTGGAAGAAAATGCCAAGGAAGACCTACATTATGCAGGAAGAAAAGGCACCTCCAAGACACAAGCCTATGAAAGACAGGCCAACTCTCATGTTCTGTAGTAATGCTAGTGGGGATTTCAAAGTGAAGCCTTTACTGGTGTATCACTCTGAACATCCCAGAGTGTTCAAGAAAAACAGTGTTGCCAAGAGTAAATTGTGTTTGATGTGGAAGACAAACAGTAAGGCATGGGTCACGAGGGACATTTTCCTTGATTGGTTCAATGAAGTGTTTGGCCCCAGTGTGAAGAAATACCACCTGGAAAATAAATTGGAACTCAAGTGCCTCCTGGTAATGGACAATGCTCCTGCTCATCCTCCAGACTTGGAAGAGCAAATGGTGAAGGAGTTTTGTTTCATCACATGAAGTTCTCGCCCCCCTAATACCACTTCTCTCCTCCAGCCCATGGACCAGCAGGTCATTTCAAACTTCAAAAAACTGGATACCAAAGCAGTGTTTCAAAAGTGCTTTGAAGTGACCTCAGACACTCAACTGACCCTAAGAGAGTTCTGGAAAAATCACTTCACTATCCTCCATTGCATAAACCTTACAGGTAAGGCTTGGGAGGGAGTGACTTCCAGGACTTTGAACTCTGCTTGGAGAAAAATTGTGGCCAGATTATGTCCAAGAGAGGGATTTTGAAGGGTTTGGGGCTGACCCTGAGGGCCCTATACCAGTTTTGGAAAGTATTGTGGCATTGGGGAATTCCATGGGGTTGGATGTGGGTTTCGAGGATATGGAAGAGTTGGTGGAGGTTTTTTGCTTCAGTATTCTAGGAAAGGCAGCTGTTCTTGCCAACATTAAGGTTAAGACCCTAATCAAATACCGTACCTTGGAAACTAGAAAGATATGACAAATTATTTCAAGAAGATATGACACCATGTGACTCACTCTGCCTCTTGTAACTACAAATAGGTAATTACAGTTACATTTGTGCTTTATACAAAAAATGTAAATTAAACTGAAAATCCCTTTGGTATTAACCAAGCAATGACTATGATGCCATATATCGAGAATGCCATAAAAATCTTTTTTAAAGGACATGAATTCCTGCTAATAATAATAACAAACATATGAACATGATACAGTACAAACAAAGAACAAAAAGTAACATGTTTAACATGTATCCAAACCTCTTTGTACCAAGTTATAAAAACTTCACATTATTGTCATGTGAAATCAACCCCTGGAATAAATATATAACATCTCATTACGGTATATATTTTTGTTTATTTACATTATTGATACAAAGAAGTTATGAGAAATTGTAACAAACATGTAACTGTGTGTTAAAAAATATTAATTAATGGGAAGGAGTAGCACTTTGGTTTAAGCTACAAGTTAAAACATGTTGATAGCTTAATAAACTAAACTTAGCATATGCAAGTAAAACACTTATTTTGAAGAAACAAAAAGAATATAACTATCAGTTGCCTAATTATTTGTCAACAGTAATCATTTAAAAGCAATGTTGTATATTAAACAATACTATCTTAAATTTTATTTCCTTCTGTCCTATTGTTCTCCAAAGTAAACTTTTTAGATATATAAAATTCACTTACATACTCCTAGGATAAATAGAAATCAAAGCAGTCTATTTCATTGATCACTCAAATAAAATAATTACACATATGTTAAGAAACCTACCTTGAGCCCCAAGCATTGTTGCTTTCACAGTTGACAGGATCTTGAGCTGAGTTCCAATGGTTGGGATACGTTCACAAACTTGCAGCAGATTCTGGATACAAAAAAAATAAGATAATTCTCATGTTACTGGTGACTATATAGTATCATTGCCTGCATACCACACATATGCCATACATTCCAACACTCACCACCAACTTCCACTGCTCACCACATAGCACCACTACACTTCATAAATCTCTACAACATATCCTAATATTTCACAACTATCCACAACATGTTCCCAGACTTCGTCATTTACAACACAATGCTAGGAGCTATATGCGAGAGCAATGATGTGGCATGTTTATTGGCAGTGATACCAACAAACCTAATATTTTAACTGAAGCAAACGGTCATTTAGAGCACAACTGGACTGCCGATATTGTCTTAAGATTACTAAAGAAGTACGTACATCTAAAAAGACTCATAATGCATGAAAATGCTTGCTTTTTGCTTGCTATTACACTCCATAAATTAAAAATTAAATAAGGAAAATTTAGGCTTTTTTTCTGCATATTTTTCTACAGATACTGTATTATTTCACAGAAGTGAAACAAAACAGGATCTATATCATATAATTTTCTTTACATTTTAACTGAAGACATAAGCAAAGGAAGGGAGAGTGGTAGATACTGTAAGTGAATCTTACATAGCAGCAGCCCAGCCCCACACAGCACTTGTTTATTACAAAATGTAAGTACAGGTACAACACTGATTTTCCGGACCTTTGGTTCCAAAGCCTTTCCGGATTACTGATTTTTCCGCCTTCAGAGAGCGCAGTATTCCTTGGTCTTGGGGTTGGATAAGCGATATACAGACATATGGAAAACGAACTGCAGTGTATAAATCTTACCGTTCTCATGCGCTTATCAGTACATTCTCTTGCTAGATCCTTTGCTAAACGTGTTACTTCTTCCGAAGCCTCTGCAATAGCTTTTGCACATGCAATGAGATCCTTTTTGGTGCCACCTTCGCCCCGTACAAGTTGAGACAGCTGGGCCATTAGCAGTGCCAT